GTTTTTATTTCGTTTTTTTTATCACAATTGCTGTTTGCATTTCATATTTGTTTCTTCACCTCCCTTCTGAACATTTGGCATGGTTCTCAATTGTATTTACTACTTGACACCTAGAATAAGGACACTTTTTCTTCTTTGACTTAATTTTCATCCTCGTTGACACCTAGAGAGCTCTGGCTTCATTTGTTTGACCTTTCCCTTTATACCTTGACTGGGCCCAAACCATCTCCAATCCAGTCCATTGTTTAGCTACATCAGTCCCCCTGCTGGCCTTTACTTTCAGTCTATCTGACCCATTTCTGCTCTTGCCCCATTGAAGTTTGCCAGTTGATTATTCTTACTCTGGATTGACCAACATCACCTTCTATCATCACCCTAAACATTATGATGCAATGATTACTGTCCCTTAAATGTTCCCCCACTGTCACTTGGTCTTCTTGGCCCAAGAACCAGGTCTAGCAGTGCCTTTTTTCTCACTTGATTGAATGCATACTGCTGTAGAACATTCTCCTCAACAAATTCTAAGAATGCTTGTCCCTCACTGCCCCTTATATTACTACCATCCCAGTCAACATATGTGTAATTAAAGTCCCCCATTATAACCACCCTGTGGTGTTCACATCTCTTTGTAATTTCCTTGTTCCTCCATTTCATTCACAGTTTGCTGATCTATAATTCATCAGTATCATTGCACCTTTCTCATTCCTTAACTTTAACTAAATCAATCCTGTCTTTCAACCTTCTGAAACATCTTCTTTCTTCGACACTGCAAAACTTTCCTTAACCAAAAACAACTCAATTATTTTCCTTTCTTATCTTTTCTGAATACCCAGGAATATTTAACAGCCAGACTCGCCCTTCCTTATGCCAGGTGTCCTCTACAGCCACATCATCGTAATCTCACAAGTCAAACTGCCTGTAACCCCAATATTATTCTCTACAGTCTGTCAGTTCACCTATATGCAGTATAACCCGGATTTAAACTTACTCCAATTCTACCACCTAACTTACTATTCTCTATTTTAGTGATATGTGCCTTTCTCTGCATTTCATGAACCCTGTACTACTTTCTAATACTCTCCACTCATTTCCACATCTCTCATCCACATCTCATTTAAAACCTCCTCAACAGCAATAGCAAAATGCCCCACAAGGATCTCAGTCTCAGATATGTTCAGATGCAAGCAATTCATTTTGTGGAGGTGTCCCAGAACCTGTCTCAGTGTCCCAGCAATCTAAAATCATCCCTCTTGCACTACCTTTCCAGACAGACATTTGTCATCCTATTTCTGCACTCACTTCATATAGCAAGAACCTAGATACAACTGAAAGCCTGGAAATTATTCATATCTTGCTTTATATGGGCACAGATGGCTTTATTATTTGAGAAGTTGGAGTTAGAATTAAACACTGCGCTACCATCAGTAAATGTCTCCACTTCTAATGGAGGGAAGGTCATTAATGCAGCAGCTGAAAGTGGCTTGGCCTAGAGTACTGTCCTTAGTAGCTCCTGAAGTGACATCCTAGAATTATAGTGATCTTCCTCTAACAGTACAAACAATTTCCTGTCTATGAACAAATGTTGCTTTAATGTTAAGTGCAGTCAGTCTCACCTCACCTACATTGGCATATTTCCATACAATAAATTATAGAACAATTGTATTGAATTTAAGCAAAGATTTGTGTGTACATGTATCAACTGATGACATTGCCATTCAGCATCTGCTATATATATTCTATACAGATAATGGTGTGGAAATTATCGGAGGCAATGAGGTTAAGCCTCATTCAAAACCTTATATGGCGTCTATCCAAGTTTATAACAGGCAACAGAAGAGTTTTATCCATTTTTGTGGAGGGGCTTTGATCAGAAATAGATGGATACTGACGGCAGCACACTGTGTACAGTAAGTTACCATCTATATATCTATAATTGAAGTATTATTCTACTTATTAGCTCATGTTTATGGAGAGCTTAACTCACACACTTTAAATCAAATAATTACTTTCAAATGCTACACCACATCATTATTGATACACAGAGCACCATCTTATTGATAAAAACCAAAAGAACTTCGGATGCTGTAAATCAGGAATGAAAACAGAAATTGCAGAACAGTTCTGAGGAAGGGTCACCTGACCTGAAACTTTAACTCTGATTTTTTTCTTCACAGATTCTGTCAGACTTGCTGAGCTTTTCCGGCAACTTCTGTTTTTGACCATGTTATTGATAACTATTTCTGTTAGCATGGTTCTTGGTATGATATTTTAAAAAAAAATATCTATTTACTTGCACAGAGAGCCTGATTGTTACATGGAAAACTTCATTTGGTTCTGCCGTTGCAAACATGGCTTTATTTTGTTACCTTTATCTGAAACCCATTCGAAGCTAAGGCATCACAATCCCAACACAAATAGATATATTGTTGGGGTTTTCACAGCTCAAGCTGTGTCCTCAAGAGCTTTTCTGGTACCCTATTTCTTGTCCAGCTAGACATAACCAATTCGTTTGGTCAAAAATAGAAACAGCTGGAGAAACCCAGCAGGGTCTGCCAACATTGATGGAGAAAAAGCAAAGTTAACATTTCAGGTCCAGTGTATACACTGCTCACAATGTGGTCTCCTCTGCACTGGGGAGATTAAACACAGACTGGGTAACCACTTTACAGAATACCTACATTCCGTCCACAAAAATGACCATGAGTCTCCAGTTGGCTGTCACTTCAACACACCACCATGCTCCCTGGCCAACTCTGTCCTGGGCCGACTGCAGAGCTCCAGTGAGCCTCAGTGCAAGCAGGAAGAGCTTGGGGACCTTGCAGACTTCAGGACTCAAAATCGAGTTCAATAAGTTTAGGGTCTGACACATTCTTCCATGATTTTTACCCACCCTGATACGTCAAGCTCTGTCATAACACAGGCTGCTTTTATCACAGCCTACGCATTTTCACCTCCTTACAGTCCCCATTAGCACCTTTTCTGTCTCCGTTGTTTACCATTATCCATCCTTTTGTTTTATGTCTGTTTCTCCCTCTAGGCTCCACCTCCACCTATCATTTACTTCCAACTCCTTTACCAGCCTTTTCCCTACCCCCGTCATCAGCACATACACCACCTTTTCCGAGCGACTACCTAGCATTGAAGAAGGGTCACTAGGATCTGAAACATTAACTCTGCTTTCTCTCCACAGATGCTGTCAAACATGTTGTGTTTCACCAGCTTTTTCTGTTTTTGTTTCAGATTTCCAGCATCCACAGTTCTTTGTTTTACCCACTTTGTCAGGTCATTGGCTTGCAGAAATATCTGGATCCAAGTGGAAAGATTCAGTGTCCTTAATAATACTTCTACCCCTCCAAGTCCCATCAATTACTTCACCCATTTTACCACATGTTAATATTTTCTGAAGAATGATTATTGCAGGATAATCAAATGGCTAAATTAATTACAACAACTAGTCCTCATATTCATCGATGGAGAGATGATAGCACAGTGGTAATGCTTCTGAGCTACTCATCCAGAATAATGACCTGCAGAAAAGGGTTCACATCTTACAAAGGAGGTTTTTTTCTCACTAAATCTGAAATTGAAAGTTGGTCTTGGTAATAATGATGGACATATTTTAAAGAACTATCTGATTCACTAACGCCCTTTAGGAAAGGAAATCTAACACCTTTACCTATTCTGATAGATAAGTGACTCCAGACCCGCAGCAATGTAATGGACACATAACTGCTCTCTGAAATAGCCCTAGCAAGCCACTCAATTCAAGGACAATAAGTGATGGGTAACAAATGCTGGCCTGGCCAGTGATGACACATCCAAAGAAAAACTAAAGAAAAACAATCGATAATTCTATGAGAAGTCAGACGGGTGGCCATGGGCCCCAGTTATGCTTGTCTTTTCATGGGGTGTGTGGAACATCCCTTGTTCCAGTCCTACTCTGGCTCCCACCCACAACTCTTTGTCTGATATATCAATGATATCATTGGTGCTGCTTCCCTGTCTCATTCGGAATTGGAAAAGTTAATCATTTTCGCTTCCAATTTCCACCCTGCCCACACTTTCACCTGGTCTATCTTTGACTCCTCCTTTCCCTTCCTCGACATCTCTGTTTCCATTTCTGGGGATAGACTGGCCACTAATATCCACTATAAACCCACTGACTCCCACAGATACCTGGGCTATACATCCTTACACCCTGCTTCCTGTAAAGATTCCATCCCATTCTCTCAGTTTGTCCGTCTCCATCTCAAATTTTCAGATGAGGCCAACTTCGACAAGGGAACCTCCAACATGTCCACCTTCTTCCTCAACCGAGGATTCCCCAGCACCGTTATCAACAGGGCCCTCAACCGGATCTGACCCATCTCCCACACTTCAACCCTCACTCCTTCTCTTCCCTCTCACAACAGTAATAGGGTTTCCCTTGTCCTTACCTACAATCCCACCAGCATCCACATCCAGAAGTTTATCAGATGGCATTTCCACCACCTCCAGCAAAATGCCACCACCAGACACATATTCCCCTCCCCTCCTTTGTCCGCCTTCCGCAGGGACCGTTCCCTCCAGGACACCCTGGTCCACTCTTCTTTCACCCCAACTCCTCCCCACAGCCCTAAGGCACTTTCCCCTGTAACCGGCGAAGGTGCAACACCTGCCCATTTACCTCCTCTCTCCCCATTATCCAAGGGCCCAAACATACCTTCCAGATGAAGCAACACTTCACCTGCACTTCCCAGAATCTAGTCTACTGCATTCACTGCTCACAATGTGGTCCCCTCTACATTGGGGAAACGAAGCGTAGACTGGGTGAATGCTTCCTGGAACTCGCAAAAAAGACCCTCACCTACCTGTTACCTGCCACTTCAATGCACTACCCTGCTCCCTGGCCAACATCTCTGTCTCTGGCTTGCTGCAGTGTTCCAGTGAAGCCCAATGCAAGCTGGAAGAACAACACCTCATTTTCCGCTTGGAGGACCCTGCAGCCCTCTGGACTCAATGTTGAGTTCATTAATTTTAAGGCTTAAACTCTCCCATGTCTTACCCAACCCGACACACCAGGCTTTGTTATCACATACATTACATACTACCTATTGTTCGTCACTAACTGTCCCCGTTAACAATTATTCACCCTCCTGGACAGATCATCATCAACTCCTTTGTCTATCCAACTGCTATTCTCTCTCTTCAGGCTTTATCCTATCATTTACTCCCTACCCCACCCCCCTCCCTATTTTCTGCATCTGAACTGATGTTTCCCCAGCTACTATCAGTTCTGAGGAAGAGTCACCAGATCCGAAACGTTAACTCCGATTTTTTTCTTCACAGATGCTGCCAGACCTGCTGAGCTTTTCCAGCAACTTCTGTTTTTGTTCCATAATTCTATGAGGCTACTAAGGCAGACACTTACTACACACCCACTATCAGGACATCACAACTGTGACATATGTTTTTTTTTATTCTATGATCTTGGCATTCAGCTGAGGTACACGTGGCATGCAGTTAGAAATGAGCCAAGGTAGAACTATACATAGAAGGGCAAAACTTCTACAACTCTTCAGGTGGGAATGCCAGAACAGAGAGAGGGCCAGAAATGAAATTAAGCCATGGATATTCTGGGTTTTGTCTGACATGAACCATGGGCCTTGCACAGAGTAGAACCTCTGTGTACCTCTTGCATTGCCTACAAAATAGGAGGATATAGACTCGGGCTAGGATCCCCACATTGGAAGTTCGCATGATCCATCTGTGTTAATGTCATCAGTAGTGATACACGTGACTGACCACCAATGGCATTTGTGTCCAATCTGAGCACCAAAATCACAGAAGGCGAAAGAAAGTTTGACCAAACTATCGTGATTGGGACCAGCTGCACCTCATTGGCTACGAGGTCATTGATTAGTGTTGTTGACCTGGACCAATCAGGAAAGCCTTGGCTGACCAATGTAACCAGGAGATTAGAATCTCCTCAGTTTTGAGAACTGACTCTGAGCTGGCTGGCCTAGTGTACTTTGCACTAGTAAATAAAGGGTGACTTGGTCACGGGGCCCTGCCTCTGTGATGTTGTTTCAGTGTGTCGGCCTGTATGGGCCGATGGTACTCCATGTCAAGGAAGAAAATATAACCAGGAGATTTGAATTTCCTTAGTTTTGAAAACTGACTCTGAGCTGGGTGACTTGGTGATCTGACCCAGCTTCTGTGCAGTTATTTCACAAACATTGTAACTGACATCTCTGATTTTGAAGTGCTGATGCTTTCTTTCAGAGGGAGGGATTCTTTCTTTTCCACTGCACTCAAGTAACCTTCTAGTTGGCTGCTCTTCTGTAGGATACAAATTCTGGGCATGGCAGATATTTAGATCTGCCGCTCATGATGTGGGAGGTACCTGTAGCACAGAAGCTAAGGCATGACTATTTGACTTCACCAACTTTAGCAAACCTTTAGCCAAGGTTTGCTCCTTGCATGATCCTCCCTGAGAATGAATATCTCACGATGGGTTTTCATTATTTATTTATTCTGGAGTTAAAAACCACTCTTCTATCTATCTATTGAGAACTGCAATTATACCGGAGATCAAAAGAGAAAACATTACTGGAAATCTGACGTTAAAACTTTTATAGTATAAGACAGATCAGTCAGTACCTGAAGAAGAATTCCATTAAAATGCCAATTTTATGAGTAATGATTGAACTCCATTAATTTCTAATGATTTGCTGGGAGCAGCTGAACTGAGTGGCCATGCTCTTCCTTATTGATTCATTGTTTGATCTCGGGCTGAAAGAAACAGTAAATAATATGGCTTCGTTAATTGTTCAGTTTGTTATTATCGTTTGAAATCCTGAATCTTCTTTTTCTTACAAATTTCTGAAAATTGCCTGCTCTTATGGAAACAAACAATAATTGTCTACCTTTCTGATGAAATGCAGGAAAGGGCGTGTTCAAGTTGTTCTTGGAGCACATTCTCTGTCACAGAATGAGATAAGTCAACAAAAAATTCAGGTCAAGAAGCAGATCCCCCATCAAGGGTTTAACAGAAAATCTCCAGAAAATGACATCATGCTACTTGAAGTATGAATTTTAGTTTTTTCTTTCTGGTTTGTTTGTTTAAAACTAGTAATTTAGAAAGACAGTGTTTTGTTTCTGCAAAAAATAGCAACTTTATAATGTCAGAGATAGTAGGAACTGCAGATGCTGGTGAATCCAAGACAACAAGGTGAGGTTAATCCACATTGATTTCACAAGTTTCAAAATCTCCCCTCCCCCTACCGCATCCCAAAACCAGTCCAGCTCGTCCCTGCCTCCCTAACCTGTTCTTCCTCCCACCTATCCCCTCCTCCCACCTCAAGCCGCACCTCCATCTCCTACCGACTAACCTCATCCCGCCCCCTTGACCTGTCCGTCCTCCCTGGACTGACCTATCCCCTCCCTAACTCCCCACCTACACTCACCTTTACTGGCCCCATCCCCGCCTCTTCGACCTGTTTGTTACCTCTCCACCTATCCTCTCCTCTATCCATCTTCTATCCGCCTCCCACTCTCTCCCTATTTATTTCAGAACCCCCTTCCCCTCCCCCTTCTCTGATGAAGGGTCTAGGCTCGAAACGTCAGCCTCTCTGCTCCTATGATGCTGCTTGACCTGCTGTGTTCATCCAGCCCTGAACTTTATAATGTCAATCTCTTTGTGTAAAGGTTATGAAAAATATCTCATGAAATCCACCAATGGTTTTGTCAGTTTAAATGTTTCTAAAGGTTGAGACTCAAGCATACAGTTCTCACTAGGAATATTCTTCACTTGTGAGAGCTTATCAATAGGTTGCTTGACTCTATAGGGGCATCATAGTCAAATGTAACTTTTGTAATCACTGCTCTATGAGGGAAGTCGTTAGTAAGCAATCAAATGCCAGTTTCTTTTGACTTTTGCCTGGGGTACTCTGGCTGAATAGCAGCCTGACTGCTGCCTTAGCTAAGGTCAGCTGTCTTTACGTAGATCCAGAGGCTTTGTAGTGAAATTTATTCATCAAACCATTGGGGAATCTTTATCTATTAAGAAACATTGAAATTTAACGTTATGAAGGAAAACTGCATAAACATTTTCTAATCTCCGAAAGCATTCAGGCAATATTTGTCCTTCCTGCCATCTCCATTCTTTCTTGCTCAGATACCATACCCTGAGAAGTTTTTGGTGACTTATTGGATTATGCTTGACAAAGCATTGTGGTACTTCACTGTTGCCTTCTGCATCATGGCTGGCTGGAAAATTCCTTATGTCTTACAGCCTGCAGTCAGGTATATAAGAAATATTTTCAGGTTGGTGATCAACCTACCTGACCACATTACAAATATACCTTCTATGACTATCAATTCTTAAAGTGAGAATTGAACCCACAATTGTTGGTGCTAAAACTACACTACGAGACTTCCATCGGAACTCCTTTACCTGCTAGAAAATATGCTGAGTCCCAACAGCAAAGACCCAATACATTTTTGCAATATGCAGTTCCATTCCCCACACTTCACATTGATCACTGAAGGTAACATGAGTTCTATCTCAACAGTACCTCAGAGATATACAGTCATTTTAATCTGAGACAATTGGACCACCATCTGTTTGACACACTGCCTGATTTTATTCTTCACTGAAATCACTATAGGATGAAATCAAGGGTAGCGCAAAACAGATGGTCAATGGGAATTGGATTGGTGTGTGCTGTGAAATTGCAGATAACGACAAGCACCATCAAGGTTGTGGATGATGAACAATGATACCCATCCCAGAGGGTGGTCAGTGCCTGTACAATCATTGTCTGATCCAAGACAGAACACGCAATTCAAAAGGAAAAACATTTGAGGAGCAGGTTTCTCACAACTTAAAAAATGACAGTCCTCTTTTGGAATACATCAAAGTAGAAGATCGGCTTTTTTATTTCAAAAAGCAAAAATATTAATTTGCTCTTATTTTATCGCAGCTGTCCAGTGAAGCAAACATCAACAAATATGTGAGTCTGCTGAAACTACCAAATGGCAAGAATCCAGATGTGAAACCTGGAACTTTCTGCAAAGTGGCAGGATGGGGAATAACAGATGAACACTCCAACTCTCCATCTGACACACTTCAACAAGTGAAGCTGAAAGTAATAGATCGGGACATATGCAACAGTAAGGATTATTACAATCAGAACCCTTTCGTAACCAAAGACATGATCTGTGCTGGTGACAGCAAAGGCAGAAGAGACTCATGCAAGGTGAGTGCACTGTACTAACTGGTATCAGTTAAAGTAACTATGAAGCTTTTGTATTGTCTCCACCACCCTAACTAGTTCACTCATTTCAGTTGCAGAATGAAATTCTGTATCCTTACTCAGTATCCGGTACCATATGCAACTCCAGTCTTACCTCATCAAGGTTGACTCTTGACATCCCATGAATGGGAAGTCTGTTACCTTGGAAACCACTCTGATGTATCAAAAAACATGTTTCAGGAAGACCATAATATGATCATAAGAAATAAGAATGGGAGTAGGCCATTCAGCCTGTCAAATCTGCCCTGCCATTCAATAGGATCATGGCTGGCCCAACATTCCTCACGTCTACTTTCCTGCCTTTTCCCCATAATGCTTGATTACCCTCCTGATCAAGAATCTATCAACCTCACCCTTAACTATAGATAAGGACTCTTCCCCCATAGCTCTCTGTGGCAAGATGTTCTGAAAACCCACAACCCTCTGAGAGAAGATAATTCTCCTTATATCCAGTGTTAAATTGGTGTCCCTTTATTCTGAGACTATGCCCTCTGATCCTAGACTCTCCCATGATGGGAAACTTCCATTTAGCACTTACCTTGTCAAGCCCCTTAAGAAACCTATATGTTTCAATGAGATCACCTCTCGTTCTTCGAAACTCCAGTGAGCAGTTCCTAACCTGGTTAATCTTTGCTCATAAGAAAATTCCTTCATACCAGGGATCATCCTAGTGAACTTTCTCTGAACTGCCTCCAATGAAATGATATTTTTTCTTAAAAAAGGGGCCAAAACTGCTCACGGTACTTCAAATGTGGTCTCACTAGCACCTTGTACAGTTGCAGCAAGACATCCCGACTCTTATATTCCGACCCCCTTGATGTAAGTCCGACATTCCATTAGCCTTCCTGATTACCTGCTGCACCCGTGTGATAGCTTTCAATGTTTTATGCACACATAACCCCCAACTCCCTTTGTGTTGCAGGTTTCTGCAGTTTTTCTCCATTTAAATAACACACTGCACTTTTCTTCTCCCTTCTAAAATGAGCAACTTCACATTTTCCTACATTGTACTCCATTTGCCAACATATTTGCCCACTTGCTTTATCTATCAATATCTCTCTGTAAACTATTTGATTCCCTTTTGCAATCTGTAAGTTTGGCTACAGTACATTCACTCCATGACCTCCAAGTCATGAATATATATTCAGAAGTAACACGACACCGGGTTCTCATCCAACGGATTTGTTTAAAGTCACAAGCTTTTGAAGTCTTCACCTGACGAAGGAGCAGCACTCTGAAAGCTTGTGATTTACAACAAATCTGTTGGAGTATAACCTGGTGTTGTGTTACTTTTGACTTTGTCCACCCCAGTCCAACACTGGCATTTTCACATCATTAATATATATTTTAAACTGTTATAATTCCGACACGGATCCCTGAGGTACCCCACTGCTTGCATGTTGGCCTGGGGAAAAACATCCTCTTTCCCAATGTGCAGATTCCTCCCCGTGAGGCAATTCTCTATTCATTCCAGCAAATGACATCGAACAGCATAGGCTCTTATTTTAACCTTTTGTGATGGGCCTTGTCAAAAGCCATCTGAAAGTCCAAATACAAAATATCTGTTGGTTCCCCTCTATTCACTCTAGTTGAGACTTCCTCAAAAAAAGCCCTATTGAGTTAGGCACAATTTCCCTTTCATGAAGCCACGCTGACCCTGCTTGATTATGTTATGATTTTTTAAATTTGCTATGATTACTTCCCTAATAATTGATTCAAATGTTTTTCCTGCAATAGATGTTAGGCTAATCAACCTATAGTTACCTGCTTTTTGCCTCCCTTCCTTTTTTAAATAGAGGTATTTTGGCAATATTCCAAGCCTCGGGTACTTCTCCAAAATCCAATGATTTTTGGAAAATTGCAACCACTGTCTCTGTTGTAACTTTTTTTTCGATCCTAGGATGCAAGTCTTGAGGGCGAGGGGACTGATAAGCCCTTAGGACCATTAGTTTGTCTCATACCACTTCTCTAATGAAGATACTTAATTCCTTCCCACATTCTTTAGGACTGTTTGAAGTATCTCTTACCATGAAGACTGATCCATTTAACTCCTCTGCCAATGTCTTGTTCCCCCAAAACTCTCTCCACAGATTCATTTTCTAAGAGGCCTAAGTTCACTTTGACTCTCTCCTTCTTTTTGTATATTTAAGGAAGTTCTTGTTGTTACTTTTTATATTCCTCACCAGTTTGCCCTCAGAGTTTATTTTCTCTCTCTCTTTATTATATTTTCAGTCCTCTTTTACTGGATTCTGAATTTATACCAAATGACCTTCTGTCACCTTCACAGACATGGGTATTAAAGCAACAGGTGAAACCTGAGAATAATTTAAAACATGATAAAGCAATATCTAATAGATGGTCCACTACCTTATGAAAATAAGATACCCTAATCATGGAAGAACGATTCTCTCTTTAATTTATTTTTTAATATACTTTCATACCTCTGCTACATAATAAGTTGGGTTCCCATCATTTTAATATGAATCTCCAAATTTTGGGTAAAATATATTGCCGACTAGTAATTGTTGGATTCCAAGCACCATAATGAAAGCCTGGTGACCAGAATGCATGTTTCTTCATTTAAAGTAATTACTTAGAGACTAAGTGATCAAAGGCAAATTCTCTTTTATTGCTGAAGGTAATTATTAAGCATTTTTCTTTTGGGATGCTAGAGGGCATGATTGTGATTTTGCAATGGATATCAGAGGTGAGGCTGTTTCACATTGCCCTGACTTATCTCTGAAACTAAGACTAAGTGTTCCTCCCAGTGAAGAGCAACATAGCAACTTGAACAGAAGAAATCCTGAAACGTTTCAGAAGGTTTTTTGAATAGTTGAGACTTGTGGTAATAAACAGAAAATCGTCAGTCTTGATTCATTAACAGAAAGCGTAGAATAGTAGTGGGTAGATTCATTTAGACTGGGTCTTTGTTCTCACTGATATTCCTCACAAATCAATTTTAGGTCCTTTATTGTTTTAAGTTTTTAAGGAAGAGCATTATAACATTTGCAGCAAATAAAAAACTTGACAATATTGTAGGTATTGATGAAGATAGAGAATGGCAGCTGACGTTCAAGACAGAATAACATACAGTGATCAATGGATTGCATTGCTTGGGAGTTTGATAAAAGTACATTCAATCATAGCTTTCAAAAATGAAATTAATTGAATATACAAATGAAGAGTCATGCCAAAACTTAATAAATCATTCATTTGGCCTAAGCTTGAGGATTATAAACAATGCCGGTCACCACATTTCAGGAAAGATGCAAAGGCATTAGAAGCTATGTAGAGGTTGGACAGGATGTTGACAAGTATGAGGAATATAGTTATGAGGAGTAACAGGAAAGATTAGACTTTTCTCCTTGGAACATAAAACGTTAAGATATGGGTAAGTGCAGGTTTTCAAGACAGATTAGATAAAGAATGTAGATCAAAATACAGATGCGATAGATTTAAAATTGTGCTCAATAGAACTTGAGAGACTTTGCTGGTGATCAAGAGTAGACTTATAGCATAGTAATTGGCTATGTTCAATTTGTCCTACTGTTTGTGCACAGGGCCTATCTGAGCAACTTTACTTATTGCCAAGTAGATGCCAATGTTGAAGCTATACTGGAAGAGTGTGACTATGGACATGGCAACCTCCAGAGCAGAAGTCTTTGACATTATTGCTGGAATATCATCTGGTCCCATAGACTTTGCAGTATCTAGTGTTTTCAGCCATTCTTTGATATCATGTGGAATGCATCATATTGGTAGATACCAGCATCTTTGGTGGTGGGAACCTTCAGAGGAGACTGAGATGGATCAACCACATGTCACTTCTGGCAAAGGTGGATGCAAATACTTTACATTTTGCATTGATGTATTGGGCTCCCCCATTGTTGAGGATGACAATATTTGAGGAGCTGCTGTTAAATGTATGATTGGATGTGAATAGATAGGAAAGGTTCAGAGTAGCTCAGACCATGGAGGAAGGTCTTCTATTGAACTCTGATTTTGTAAGCAACATTAGCAAATTCTTAATAAAAACCAAAAGAACTGCGGATGCTGTAAATCAGGAACAAAAACAGAAGTTGCTGGAAAAGCTCAGCAGGTCTGGCAGCATCTGTGAAGGAAAAGTCAGAGTTAACGTCCAGGGATCCTTCCTCAGAACCGAAATGTTAACTCTGATTTTTTTTCTTCACAGATGCTGCCAGACCTGCTGAGCTTTTCCAGCAAATTTGTTTTTGTTATTAGCAAATTCTTCTTAATTATCTCTTTTTCATTTTCTTTCTTCCAGGGTGATTCAGGTGGTCCTTTAATTTGCAACAAGAAGTACAAAGGCATTGTGTCATATGGTCGAGGATGTGCAGATCCCAAAAAGCCTGGAATTTACACTCTCATATCAAAGAAATATCTTGACTGGATTGCAAAAATAATTGGTGCACATGCTTTCAATATGACCACTGTTGAGAGTGTTGAGAGTCCTACCAATGTTTTGCTTTACCGTTAATGATCTGTGTTGAAATGCTTTACTTTACAAAAGGACCAGCCTGCTTTTGTCCTTGTCTTAAGCTCATTGTATAATGTTGAATTACAGAATAGAATAAAAAAAACTGAAATGTGAAGTTGTCAATGTGAACTGTATTGCAATTTATTGACTAAATTCTCAAACAGAACTATGGAATGCAAAAAGGAGTTGAGCCCTTCCAGTGAGATTTTCAACTGAAATTTGAATGACAGGACTGACTTGGGGAGAATTTTCTCAGCCCTGAGTGACATGAGCAATTGCGAGTCAGTTGGTGTAATATCGGGAGAATGGAAGAATGAGGTTCTTGTGATCAAGAAAGGAAATATGACTTTTCCTCCATGGTTTTAACAATGAGTCAACAAGCTGACTAGTGACAACCTGTGAGATAGCATTTGGTGATGCCATAACCTTAGGTAGACTGCACATACGTGCTCACGTGGCAAAGCGCGTGAGTACAGTTCCAAGCCTTGGATGTCGATGTGTTGTGCTGAAAAATCAGTATTGCACATGTACACAGAACAGGCTCCAAATTGAAATGGGAATCAAATGGGGCCAGAGGGGAAAGCACAGGCTTTGGGAAAGGGAAAGAACAGATGAGGAGAGCGAGAGAACAGACAGTGTGGAGGATGAATGGATGTTGGGAGAGGAAACGGATGGGGGGAAAGAGAACTGGAAATGGTGAAAAGATGGACATGGTGGGGAGAGCATAGACACGACAGGGAGACAATGAACATGAGGGGAAGAGAATGAGACAGGGGAGAGAACAGGTGGTGGAGAGAATGGGGAGAAAGGGGAGTGAATGAGGGGATGGTGAGAATGGAGGAGGGGGGAATGGTCATGAGGGAGAGATAATAGACGGGGACCCTCGTTAACCTGATCATATCCCCCCAGCCCCATCTGTTCTCTCTTCACCTCCCTCAGCAACATCTGTTCTCTCCCAACCATACCTGCTCCATCCGTTCTCTCTATCGCCACCCACACCACGCACAATCTTTCCCCCTCTCCCCAGCCCCACCAGCTCTCTTCACACACTCCTCCCCACAGCCCTATCCATTCTCTTCCTCTCCCCATCCAGGCCCAATCTCTTGCCCCGAAACCCTTCCTCCCCACTGGCCCAATGTATTTACTTACAATTCAGTCCTTCTCCATTCACAGACACATCTACTAATGCATATTCACAGGAAATTGCACCAATGCCCACATTGTCAGCAAACACAGACGAATGGTGAGAAACCTTTTTGCAAGCATTAAACTCTCATTTGTACCTATTGTCACCTCAGTTAGATGAAGTTTCCTATTTGCACAGGCTGTGGAGAGGAATGAAATGGCGGCAATTTTCAACATGAAAATAACAAAGGGTGCCATTTATTTTTGTGGAGGGCAGAAGGTCATTAACTTCCTCATGACACTATTGTGCATTGCTCCAGTCCATGGACAGTGTACAGAGCCGGATGGCTACGTCAGACCAGTTTGATATGGTACAACAGCTGGGGCATGGAGATGTGGTGCATACAGAATGAGGTGAGCAGTGGAACAATTGGTGAGAAAACCCATTCAATTTTATGGAGAGAAACTTTCCATGAAAGTCCCTGAAATTGACACAGCCATCTTGTGATAAATTACAACCCTTGTTTTCTACTGTGTAGAACCTAGCCTAGGAAGAACTTCTTTGATTTTGGATAAAAATTGCATTTAAAGCTTTTGAAATCGATGCTGCCTCTTACTACACTGACAGCTTCTTTTACCATTTTTAAGTTAACATTCCCCCAGTGCACCAACAGGACTTTGAAAATGTCTAGATCATAAATGGTATAAGATGGTGTGCTGCTCCCATACCACCCATTTCAACTCCCCGCCGCACTCCCCCTTCCACATGTCCGTCCTTGGCCTCCTCCAGTGTCATAGTGACTCAGAATGCAAATTTGAAGAACAACACCTTATCTTCCCCCTAGGAGCCCTACAGCCCGGAGGACTCAACATTGAGTTCTCCAATTTCAAGTAACTTTCCCACCCATCCCCCGGTTCCCCTTCCAGCCCCACCTCCTCCCTTCCATTCCACCTTTTGACCCTCCCTTCTTGCTTCCAACCGGATTCATCCCTCTCATTGACCAACCAGGTGGTACCTACCAACAGTGTCCACCTATCACCATCATTCTGCCTCCACCCCTCTCTCCCCTTTATCTGCAGCTCCCCCTACTCCCACATCCAGTCCTGAAGAAGGGTAATACACAAAATATTGACTGCTCCTTTCTTCCAGATGCTGCCTGGCCTGCTGAGTTCTTCCAGTCTCCTGTTTGTCTACTTTGGATTCCAGCATCTGCAATTTTTTTGTCTCTATTCCAGTTGTCCTCTCCTTGTTAGGGTCCAATGTCACAGGCCAAATGACTCTATAGCATTTCCTTTATATTGTCATTCTTCACATTTAACTAGAACTAGGGTGCATAGACTAAAAATTAAGGCCAAGCTATCCAGCAGAGATGTTAAGAAGCACGTTTAAAACTGAAAGAGAGAAATTTTTATTCAGCAAAGTCATTAAGGGATATGGGCCAAGGGAGGTGTATGGAGTTAGGCCACAGATCAGCCATAATCTCAATAAAAGGCAGAACAGGCTCAAGGGGCTGAATGGCCTACTCTTGTTTCTATGTTCCAATGTTTAAACTTTACAAGGAACATAAGAAAAGGAGTAATCATTTAGCCTGTCACATCACCCAATTAGATCAGCGCTGATCTGCATCCCTACCCAATTTACCCTGATTTAGAACACTGAACATAGAACAGTACAACACAGGACAGGCCCTTTGGCCCACCATCTCTGTGTTAACCATGATGCTATTCTAAACTAATCATACCTGTTGCAAATAGTTAGTATCCCTTTATTTTCTGCTTGTTCATGTGTAAGCCAAATGCCTCTTAAATGTTGCGAATGTCACTGCTTCTACCTTCTCCCCTGACAGAACCTATCACCCTCTGTGTAAAAAATTTGCCTAACACATGTCCCTTAAATTTTCCCCCTTCTCCTTAAACCCATGCCCTTTATTACTTGACATTTCTACAATGAGCAAAAGACTCTGACTATCCACCCTATCCATGCCTCTCAATTTTATATCCTTCTATCAGGTTGCTATTTAGCCTCCAACACTCTAGCAAAAACAATCCAAGTTTGTCCAACCTCTCCTTACAGTTAATACACTCTAATTCAGGCAACATCGTGGTAAACCTCTTTTGCACTCTCTCCAAAGCCTCCACATCCTTCCTGTAGTATGGCAACCAGAACTGCACACAATACTCCAAATGTGGTCTAAATGAAGTTTTATGCAGGTACAATGTGACTTGCCAACTTTTATACTCAATGCCCTGAGCAATGAAGGCAAACATGGCATATGCCTTCTTTACCATCTTACCAACTTGCGTTGATATTTTCAGGAAGCTGTGGACTTGCACCTTGAGATCTCTCTGTATATCAATGCTCCTAAAGGTCCTGCCATTTAATTTCCTCTTTACCTCCCAAAATGCAACAACTCACACCTGTCCAGATTAAATTCTACCTGCCATTCTCCACTCAACTTTCTAACTGATTTATATCTTGCTGTATCCTACTAATCAGGCCATCTACATTTTCACCCAAAGCATTCATGCATGTATATTACAAACAACAGAAGTCTTAGCACTGATTTTTGCAGAATACCACTGGTCACAGATCTTCAGTCAGGAAAACACTCCTCCACAATTACCCTCCATCTTCTATGACCAAACCAATTTTGTATCCAACTTACCAACTCACCTTGGATCCCATGTGACTTAATCTCCTGGACCAGCTTACCATGAAGGACCTTGTCAAATGCTTTACTAAAATCCATATAGACTACATCCACTGCCGTACCCTCAACAATCATCTTGGTAGCATCCTCAAAAAACTCAACCAAATTTGTGAGACATGAACTTTCCCGCACACCGGCCTATAATTTCCTGAATTATCCCCATCCTCTTCTTAAACAAAGGAACAAGAATGGCCATTCTCCAATCTACTGGGACCTTGCAAGTGGCTAAAGGGGATACAAAGATCTATGTCAATGAGCCAGCAATCTCCCCCATTTACTCTGCTTCTAATTACCATTCCCTAACATAATTCTATCAATCTCAGTTAAAATTTTCAAATGGTCCAGTCTTAGCAGCATTTTCAAGCTTGAGAATTCCATATTTCCTTTGCCGTTCTGCATGAAGAAATACTTTCTGATATCACCTTGTAATGATCTATCTCTAAAGTTAAAGTGCTGCTTCCTTATCTGGGCTTCTCCAGCAGAAGAAATTGTCTCCCTCTAATCGATAAAATTGTTTGATCATCTTAAATACATAAATTAGAACATTCCTTGTCTCCAATACTGAAGGGAGCACAAGCCTAGTCTAAGCAACATGTCCTCATAACTCAACCTTTATATGCTCTGGTGAATCTGAATTGCACCACTTTCTGGACCAATATCTCCTTTCTATGGTGCCCAGCATTAAACAATGTTCCAATTCCAATTTAACTAGAGCTTTACTCAATTGTAGGAAAATATGCAGCTCTTGGAGTTAGGGCTGCATGGTTTGACTGTTGAACTTATTTTAGAATCTGTTAACTTTAATACTAATTTCTGTACACTTACCTCTTAATCTCTCAGCTTCGCCATGGTTCTAGCTTCTCGCCACAATGAAATACAATAATAAATCTTACCTTGTTCTTAAGTAGATTATCTCACAGCTTCCCACATTAAATTTCAACTCCTGTGGTGTACCCCACCGTCTCAACCATTAATGTTCTCTTATAACTTTCAAAATCAAACTTGGATGTGCAATTATTCTTGCAACTAAGACATTGATAAGCGCAGAAAAAAAATCTGAGGCATCACTAAAAAATTCCTGAGACACCAGAATCATATTCTGCCTTTTGGATTACATACCTGCTATCTGTATTCTCTATTGCCGACCATGTAACAAATTCCCTGACAATGTCAATAGATCGACTCCAATTCCAAGCACTTTCATTTTTGATTAAAAAAAATTTACGTGAATCTGACCCAGACTGGGGAAAAATCAGGTTAAATTGGGACCTCTGACCTAAATTTTGA